GCCAGCTAGCTACCCCACCATGCACCGCGTGAGGTGTCCCGGAGGGTAGCCCAGAGCATGCTGGGAGACGGGGCCAATCTCACATGGGTACACAGGAGCCAGAAACAGCCATTGAGAAAGCCAGGGCACGGGATGAATCTTGGACTGAGCAGAAGCTATGTAGGAGCATGAACTGCATTGGGGGCGGAGGTGTCATCCGTTGGCCAGATCCAAAAGGAATCCCTGAGTTTAGGAGTCCGAGGGTTCCGGTTTGCTCCAGGACAGATTAAGAAGTCTACTGCAGGCTCCAATCACTTCTCAGACTGGTGAAAATGTGCCTCATCAACCAGAAAACCTCCCAGCAAGGAGAGAGTCTGCACGAATTCGTTTTCTGCTATGTGTCGGGATGAACCCACAAATTCACGGAGCACTATGGCGAATGCTGTACCAAGGGGCCACAACCACATTCTCCAGCCCCTCCTTCTCCTCTGAGGCTGGAGCCCAGGCTGGCCTCAAGCTCGTGCCGATCCTCTTGCCACAGCTTCTTAAGTATTTTGATTAAAAATGTAAGCACCATGCCTAGCTCTCACACCCTTTCTTTTTTATATGTGTGGTGTGTGTGTGTGTGTGTGTTTAGTATAGAGACCAACGTCAACATCAGGTGTAATCCTTTCTCACTTGCCATCTTATTTTTTGAGACAGGGTCTCTCACTAAACCGAGAGCTCACCAATTCAGCTAGACTGGTCAGTCAGCAAGCTCCAGGGATCCTCCTGGCTCTGTCTCCCCAGTGCCGGGATCACAGAAGGTACATGTGCCTGGCTTTGTACACCTGGTTCTCTGCCCACATTTAGTGATCACGTAGACCAATGGCATCGTAGGTCAGTGACAAAGCAGCAGTCATTTCAATCCACCAAGTAGCGTTAAAGCTTGGAGGGGTCAGGTAGTTCCCCAGACACTCTGTGGCATTTGCGACTTCCGTGCTCATTTAGGAAGGAGAAAAAATCATGAGGAGAAAAAATGTCCAAATTCAGTCACAGCTGCCATTTCCATCGACAACTCTTCCATGAGAAGCTCCGACAACAGAAACAACCGCCACCACAACGAGACAGAGCAACACAACAGAAACGAGAACAGCAGCTCCACAGCTCATCTTCCTCCCTTCCTGCCTTGCCCACTAGGAATTCCCATAAATTTATCCCTCAGATGCGGCCCTCTCCCCCTGGAGCCTTGCAGGGGGCACTTTCATTGCGTACTTCAGATCCCTTTGTGGAACGAGGCTGGGAATAAACATAAATGATGCTCAACGCACACACTGCTGGCTGGCCAACCTCAACCGTTTCTAAGAACAATGGATGATTATTTAGAAACTGTAGATCGGTGGTTCTCATCTTCCTAATGCTGCAATCCTTTAAGACAGTTCCTCATGATGTGGTGACCCCCAACCAGAAAATTCTTTTTGTTGCTACTTCATAACTGCAGTTTTGCTACTGTTCTGAACCATAATGTAAATATCTGTGTTTTCCAATGGTCTTAAGTGACCCCTGTGAAAGGGTCGTTTGATCCACAGGTGGAGAATCATCGCTGTAGACCTAGGCTTGGTGGCACAAATCTGTAATCCTTGACCCTGTGAGGTGGTTGAGGGAAAAGCTTGAGTTCAAGGTCAATCCGGGCTACAAAGTGGTTTCCAGGGCAGCCTGGGCTGTAGAGTGAAAACAAACAAAACAGCCAAAGGACTAGGAATGTAGCTCAGTGGCAGAGTGCTTGCCTATTACGCTCGAAGCCCTGGGTTCGATCCCCAGTACCTCATGAAACTTGTGTTAAAAAAGAAACCAAAAGAAAAAAATTCTACAAACTGCTGAGCAAGTACACACTAGTGGCCCCTCTCTTACCCAGCTGATCCCTTGTCCCTACAACCATCACTCGCAGATGGCTTGGACATTCTAGAGGCTGTCTCTATTACCTGACCTTCTGGTATATGTCATTTACCCTCTTCCAGGAACAAGACAAGGCATGGCTGTGTGGTGAAGGGGGCCAGATGAGCTGTGGGTTCCCTTTTCACACTTTAGATCCCAGTCCATTTAGGGGGCACTCTGGGATAGAGTAAGATATCTCAGCATAGAAATGACCTCTGGGATATGTAGTTTGGCCACTGTGTGCATACCCCAGCCTCTGGGTGTTCGGAGGGCCAGCAATCTGGCTTGAATTCCTGCCTCTTGCCCTATGTGACCCAAGGGAAACTGCTAACTCTCTCCATACCCCTATCATTGTCTGTAAAGTAGAGGCAGGAACTCCCTCTTCCAACTTCCCTGATGCATCAGAAAAGGTTCTCTCTGGTCTCAGACACGGGGAAGGCACTCCTTAGATTCCACAAATCCTCATTTAAGGACCCCTCCCATAGGATATGAGAGGGTCTAAACAGTGCCTCAGATCTGTACTCCCCTAAACTTCAAGCTACCCGCCCTCAGCTATTCCAAAAATTCCAAGGCAGGTTTAGGCATGCCTGCCTGCCAGGCTCAAGTTTTTCAAACATTACCTGAGACCCTCAGAGAACCAGACACAACTCAGGCCCGGGGCGTCCTGTGAAACACACAGGTGTGTTCCTACCAACAATTGTAAAAGTCCCAATGGTAGGGAATGACCTGGGTGACATTGTTGGTCCCCACTTACATAGCATCTACCTACAGTGCACTTCCTTGACCTTCCGACTCCTGCCACAGGCCACCTAGATGAGACGGCCTACTTTGGCCCCTCAGAGTAGAGGCGTGTGCTAGAAGTTGAGGGGTTGTTGAGGGGTTTCAGGAGAGCTGAGCCTAAGTTAGTTCTGTGCTCTCTGACCCTTTGCTATACCGGTTAAGAAGAAGCAAAATCACTCACCAGGGTGCAGGGTATCCCCCATGCTGCAAACAAAGCCACAGTCTGGATGAAAAGGAGTAAGAGGATGAGAAGAAGGGGGTGGGGTGGGAGGAGGTGGCCTAGCCTGGTGGGACCTTGCTGGACACAGCCAGCAGCCAGCATAGCTCCAGGTTACTCCGATCACCCTGTGAAGGACCAAGGCGGGGCCAAGGCTTAGCACTGCCCACTGGTCCAGGCTAATGATGTGGCTCAGCACATCATCTGGGGACAAACGTCCTTCCAGGCCTAGGGGAGGAGGGAAACTGTTCTGACTCCTTGGACCAAGATAGAGGCAGTCAGGGACATTGGGCCTAGGGTTCCTTACACACAGCTGTGAAGTCTGACAGCTCTCCACGACCTCAGGCAGCCCAGCCACTGGCCTGTACCACATCTACAAGTGGCAGACAGGTGACTCTGCCACCATTCACATCAGGCACAGGCTACCCCAAGCATGTCACCATTACGGACCTATCAGATAGCCTCTGATAATATCACCCTACACGTTTCTGTGACCGTCAGTCCCAGACACCACAGACATTTGTTATATCAACCATAGCATCACGCTCCTCTCTGGCAGCCTTGCTGGAAACAGTAGCCATGAGGATGTCCCGAACTGACCCTGCCTTCACCCTGCGATACTCTACCACACACATGTATTTGCACATGCCTACACAGCTCCACAGACACATGTTCCCAGGGATGGTCACATTCCAAGCGTGTGCCAGGACTGGCCTTGAGGATCCTCCGGGGGTGGAAGATGGAGGAAGAGGCACCACAGAGGGGAAGGGTTCGCCTCCATGGCCAGTCCTAGGTTAAGGCACTGCACTTTCACATCCGGGTTTGAATCCCACTGGGAACCAGTTACATAACTCTTCACCACCTCTCTTCACTTCTTTCTAAGTGCGAGTAACAGAACCTGTCCCATGGGGGAGGCTGGAGGATTAAAACGAGTTGCTTCATGTACAGTGCCTAGACAAGCTTGGCCCCGTGTAACTGCTCCCCAGAAGCCTGATGTACCGACAGATCTACACCCAGGCCAACAGAGAGAGGCCCTTCAAGGAGCACACCCTTCGCTCCTACCCGGCCAGAGCGTAGGGGTGGGGAGAGGACAAGAGGGGCGGTGAGTCACAGGGAAAGAAAGGATAACTCTCAAGAGGATGGGGGCGATTCACAGAAAGCGAGGAAGCTGCAATCGAGGCTTCCGTTGAGCCTGGTCCGGGCCCGGGACGCGCGTTCGGCACCATCCTGAGCGAGACAGCCTGCTGGCCGGCCTCCCCAGGCGGCCACGTCTGCAGCCCCCGCCCGTGACTCTCGGGGGAGGAGCTGGGGGTGCGGGCGGGTGGAGGATGACCTGGCTCGGGAGTCCCGGACCGAGAAGACTCGTCGGTCTGAGCGCTCGTGGAGCAAGAAAAGTGGAGTCCCGCATGGACGTGCTCGCGCGCGGTCCGGCGGCGCAAGCGGGTCCCGTGTAGACGCCCCCCGTCCCGGCCCCGGTCGAGCGCACCCTCACCGTCCGAGTCTTCCCGCTCGGCGCGCTCCCCGTAGTCCACCCAACTGAGCCCCTCGAGGTTGTCATAGTCGCCGCGTCGCGGCCCGTCCACCGGCACCACGGTGAAGTGAGGCATCGCAGCGCGCGTTCGGGCCGCTGTCCCGGCCTCCCAGCCGGCTGTCCCCGCCGCCCTGGGCCGCCCCGCCCCGCCCGCTCGCATTCCACCCCGCTGCGCTCACTTCCTCCATCCGCCCCCCGGGCCGCCCCTCGGGGGCGGGGAGCAGGAGGGGCTCGGACCGGCTCCTCCCCGAGCGGGGGGGGAGACAGGGTGGTAAGAGGACCCCAAGAACAGAGTACTCAGGCTGCTGGAGGGTTGGGTTCCTGTGTGACTTTGGTTCAGGGATTGCCCTCTCTGAGCCCTAGATGAGATACTTATAAAGTGAGGGAAAGTCGTTTCCACTTAATTTAGGGGCTTTATGGCGGTAGACGGGGCGCAGGGTGCGCTGGCTCTGCGCCTTGGAGTTGGTGAGTTCTCAATCACTATTCTGTTACTTAGCGGGAAGGGAAGGCAGGGCCCGCCCAGTGTCTCAGTGGCCACCCCTAACATCCCCGAGTCGCTCATCACCCTACATACACACTCGTCCGTTTCCATCATTTCTCGCTCGTGTTTCTGGTAGCCAGATCCCGGCGGAAGCACAGTCTCTGCCCTCAGTCCTGCTGCTGCAGCCTCTCCTCTGGAAGGCCGCTACACCCTCGGCAGAAGTGGCACCCGCCCGGCCCTGTTTGACACTTGAGGTTAGCCCAACTATCTCATTTGAACTTGCTCCTTCACAGCCTCGCCTTCCGGCGGTTCTGCACCCCAAGCCCTTTCCTTTCTTGGCGCTACCTTCTTTCACATTCAGATAACTTATCTAGTTGCCTTTACTTGAGAATTTTTATCTTTCTGGGTTGTCCTTTCGGCCTCTTTTTCTCTCTCCTCCCTTCTTCTCTCCTATCAGAAAGCCTCAGGACTCATCTTTCCAGTCTATCTCCTTTCTTCTCCCCCTTTCTGGCTTGAACAGCCTTTAAAACGTGGGCTGATCGTAGGATCCGCGCCCGACCGGCCGCTGTCCAATCCCAACTCTAACTCGGTGGGTGGGCCGGCCCGCTCAAGGTCTACATGCCCGGTAGGACCCTCCCCTCGCCTGGAGCAGTCTACCTTCTAACCCTGCTCTGCTTTTCTAGGCTGCTACCCGGCCTCCCTCTCCTCACCCTTCACTGCTTTCCAACCGGGCTTTTCTCTGCTCTCCGCATGCTGCGCTCTCTGCCATAGAGATGGCTCAGTGTTTAAGAGCGTTTGAAGAGCTTAGGGCAGACCCCAAATTCAGTTCCCAGTATCCACCCGTATCAGGTGGCTCTCGGCTGCCTGTAACTCCAGCTCCAAGGGATCCGATGCCCTCTGGCCTCCTCAAGCTCCAGCAAGCCGGAGTTCACACACACACACACACACACACACACCAGGCATGGCGACACTCATCTTTTCATCGTTTTGTTTGTTTTGCTTCTCTGTGTAGCCCTGGCTGACCTGGAATTCGCTTAATAGACAAGCTGACCTCAAACTCACAGATCTGCCTACCTCCCAAGTGCTGGGATTAAAGGCATGCGCCACCACCACCAGTGACAGCAAGGGCTCTTAAGTGTCCAGTCTTCTTTCCAGCACCTGGTACCTTTAATCTGAGCACTAGAGAGGCAGGGGCAGGTCAGCCTTGTCTACATAGTAAGTCCCAGGGTGGGGGTTGAGGGAGGGGATAGAGGATTACAAACAGAAACCCTAACACCTGACTAATAAAAGTCCCAGAAAACGAAATTAAACTAGAGAAAAAAAAAGTTGCATTCTCAGAACTCAGCAGAATGAGAAGGAGTTTGAGGACAGCCTGGGCTATGTATAAAACCCTGTCTCAAAGAAACAAAAAGTGAGTTCAAGATGTAGATCACTTGGTAGAGTGCATACTACATAAGACCGGGGCGGAGGAAGTGGTGCCTGCTTGTGATCTCAGCACTTAGGCCAGAGGTAGAGGCTGGAGGCTCAGAAGTTCAGTTATCCTTGGCTACATAAGGAGTTTGAAGCCGACCTGGGGATGAGCTTCCCGAACCTTATCCTAAGATAAAGACACTCAACAGGAGTCACAGAGCATAAGATTCCACCTGTAAGAAATACCTAGAAGTTGGGTAGTGATGGTGCACACCTTTAATCCCAGCACTCGGGAGGGAGAGACAGGAGGGCCTCTGTAAATTTGAGGCCAGCCTGGACTACAGAGTGAGTTCCAGGACAGGCTTCAAAGCTACAGAGAAACCCTGTCTTGACAATACAAAAAAACAAACAAACAAACAAACAAACAAAACCCAAACCAAACTAAAACAAAAGAAAAAAAAAGAAATCCCAAGAATACTCAGAGACAAAAATCAGATTGACAGTTGAGTGGAAATGAAGGAAGGAAGCAGAGAGTAACTGGTTCCCCCCCCCCTTTTTTTTTTAAAGATTATTTATTTATACAGTATCCTGCCTGTAGGCCAGAAGAGAGCCCCAGATCTCATTATAGATGGTTGTGAGCCACCATGTGGTTGCTGGAAATTGAACTGCTCTGGAAGAGCAGTCAGTACTCTTAACCGATGAACCATCTCTCCAGCCCAAGAGTAACTGTTTAATGGTAGTTTCCTCTCATCATGAATAGAATATTATGGAACTTGGTAGAAAGAATGGTCATACAACCTGTGACTATATCAAAAGTTATTGGTGGGCTGGGGAGATAGTTTAGTTGGTAAAGAGCTTGCCTTAAATATTTAGTTTAGAATCACGCAGGCAGCAAGCCTCTGGGCACACCTGGGGGAGATTATCTACATTAGGATGGCCTCTAGTCACGTGAGGAACTAACTAGTCTAGGAGGACTCTGCAGTGAAAAGGTCCACTTTAATTGTTGGCGGGGCCATTCTATGAGCTTTGGTCCTGGACTACACCAGAAGAAAGCAGTGCTAGGCGTGGTGGCACTTGCCTTTAATCCCCGCATTTTGGCGGCAGAGGTAGGTGACTCTCTGTGAGTTTGGGGACAACCTGGTCTACAGAGCAAGTTCCAGGATAGCCAGGACTGTTACGCAGGGAAACCCTGTCTCAAACCACACACACACACACCCCAAAAAAAGAAGAAGAAAGCAGATTGATTACTATCATCTAGTTTCCTGTTTCCTGACTGTAAATGTATTGTGACCAGCTTCCTCAAGTTTCTCCTGCCCCTGTGACTGCTCTACCATGCTAGACTGTAGTGTACCCTGGAACTGTGACCTGAAGTAAACGATTCTTAAAATGCTTGTCAGGGATTTCCTCACAGCACAAAGGAAGTTAACAAGCATACCTTGCAAACATGAGGACCTAAGTTTAATCTCCAGCAGTTATATTTTTTTAAAAAAAATTCTGGGCGGTGATGGTGCACACCTTTAATTACAGCACTTTGAAGGCAGAGGCGGGTGGATCTTAGTGAGTTTGAGGCCAGCCTGGTTTACAGAGTGAGTTTTAGGACAGCCAGACCTACACAAAAAAACTCCAAAGCAATAAACAAACAAACAAAAACAAACTGTGATGAGCTTTGGTCATATATACCATATAATATAATAACATATAATATGTAATACATTATATATTATATATACAATAACATATAATGTGTAATATATTAATATAATTAATAATTTTTTTTAAAAAGCTGTGGGACTGGAGAGATGTCAGCAGTTAAGAGCACTGGCTGCTCTTCCAGGGGTCCTGAGTTCAGTTGCCAGCACCCACATGACAGCTCACAACTGCCTGTAACTCCAGCTCCAGAGCATCTGACCCTCACACCAGTGAACATAAAATAATAAAATAAATTTAAAAAAAGAGAGATGCTATTTGAGACATCCAAAGCCTGCTGTAAGTGGGTTAATCTATTTTTTTTAAAGCATTGATATAAAAGGTTTTACTGTGTTGAATCCTAGGCACCTTCATTATGAGGGGTAGTTTATTAAGAAAGGAAAGTGGAAGTGGGCTAGTGTGCTGTAGAAGGAAGCTCACAGGCTGGGTGTTGTGGTGTGAATGAGAATGGCCCCATAAGCTCATATATAGTTTTTTGTTTGTTTGTTTTTGTTTTTGTTTTTGTTTTTTTTCAAGACAGGGTTTCTCTCTGTAGCAGTTCCTGGAAGTCCAGGAACTCACTGGGCAGACCAGACTGGCCTTGAACTCACAGAGATCCACCTGCCTCTGCCTCCGCAGTGCTGGGATTAAAGGGTGTGCCACCTTGCCTGCTTCACCTCACGTGTTTGAGTGTTAAGTCAGCAGGAAGTGGAGCTGTTCTGGAAGAACTAGGGGGTGTGGCCTTGTTATTGGAGGTGTGTCACTGGAGGAGGGCTGAGGTTTAAATAGCCCTTATCAGGTGGGCTCACTGTCTCTGCCTGCTGCCTCAGATCAGGAGGTAAAGCTTTCAGTTACTGCCCCAGTGCTGTGCCTGTCTGCTTCCCACCATGACGAGGGTGGACCCACCCTCTAAACTGTAAGCCAGCCCCCAGTTAAATGCTTTCTCTTAAAAGCGTTGCCTTGGCCACAGCATCTCTTTGCAGTAATAGAACAGTAACTAAGATGCTGAATTTGTTTTTAAGTGTTGGGACCTGAGCCTAGAGCTTCACCCTTGCTAAACCTATGCTCTACCACTGAGATACACCCCAGCAATGTAGAACTTTCATCTTGGGCTTCCTAATGACTAATACCTCTTTATATTATTACTGGGAAATTTGATTTCTTTTCTTGTAAAGTTTCTATTTAAACATCTTCCCAATGTTTTTAAAATGCTGTGCCCGTGTATGTAAGTATGACAGATGCATGCATATGTATGCATGTATGACGGTGCAACTGTGGAGGTCAAAGGACAACTTTCTGACATCAGTTCTCTCCTCTGCTTTTCCAGGGGTCCTGGGGGTCAAACTCAGGTCTCCAGACTTACTTGGTTAAGTCTGATGGGTAATCTTACCAGCCCTGAATTTTTTTTTTTTTTTTTTTTTTTTTTTTTTTTTTTTGAGACAGGATTTCTCTGTGTAGCCTTTCTGGCCTGAAACTCATTGTGCACCACTTTCCTCAGCCTCCAAGTGGTGCCATTAGAGGTGTTTATTAGAGGTATTGTGGACTGCACACCTGGCCTGGTTGTTTTGCTTTGTTTTTGTTTTTTTGCTTTTTAAAGACAGGGTTTCTCTGTGTAGTCCTGGCTGTCCTCTGTAGACCAGGAACTCACATAGATCCACTTGCCTCCCAAGTGCTGGAACTAAAGGCATGCACCACCATCACGTCTGGTTTTAAAATTTTTTTGTATTGTTTGTTTGGCGAGACAGGATTTTTTCTGTCTAACAGCCCTGGCTAACCTGTTATAAACCAGCCTGGCATCAAATTCACAGAGATCTGCCTGCCTCTGTCTCCCTCGTGGGGGGTTAAAGGCATGGTGTCACCATGGGCTGCAGTTTTGTTTGTTTTTATGTGGCATGAGACAGGGTCTCTCTTTGTGGCCCTAGCTCTTCTAGATCTCACTATGTAGACCAGGCTGGCTTCAAACTCAGAAAGATCCCCCTGCCTCAGCCTCCTGAGTGATAACATTAAAGGTAAATGCCACATTTGGCTCTGCTTTTAAAAATTTATTAGCCAGACTGCTATCACCAATGGCGCTGTGGACACCTGGAGTCTGGGCCACTACCTGTGACCAAAGTGGTGTCCAAAGGATGTCCCTCCACAGGGGCCATACGGATGGAGTACTCCTGTGTTGCCAACTAGGACCATTGTGATGCCCAGCCCAGACTGCTGCCAGGGGTCATGTCTGGGTCCATGGCTCTATGGCAGCTGGACTCTGAGTTGATATCCATGATGCCATGAAGAGGTCGCAGTTCAGGCTGAAACCTGATCAAACTGTTGTCCAGGTCATATAGACCTGGGTGGCCCATGCTGCCACCTGGAGTCATGGTGTTGTCTGGTCCCAAAATGTGGCCATGAGCCACGTCTGGGTTCGTGACCCCACCGCAGTCAGGGTGTGGGTCTATGTCCATGTATCCTCTTTCTGTCAAAGGCTAAGTGGATACCTGGGGTCTGGGCTGCCACCTGGATAAATGCTGGCTTTCGGGGCCATGCCACTACTTGGACCATGCCAATCTGGGTGATCTGCAGTACCAACTAGGGTCATGCTGACATCTGACCCCAGACTATTGCCAAGGACCATGTCTGGGTCCATGATCCTACCTCAGCCTGAGTCTGTGCTGTCTGAGGCCTACATTGCCACCAAAGGCCACACTGATGCCCAGGATCTGGGCTTCCATCCATGGCCTTCTTGGTGCCCGAGGGCTATGCTGCTGCTAGGCCCATACAGACCTGAGTAACATGTGTTGCCTCCTGGGGCCGGGGTGTACGGGCCTGAGCTGTCTGTGGCCCTGACACAGACAGGACCCGTGTTGGTGTCTGAGGCTCCTGTTGCCGTCAATGTTAGTTAGTGCAGATGCCTGGGATCTGGGCCACACGTGGGGCTGTGGGGGCTCCATGCTGCTGTTGGGTGATCTAAGTTGACCTGCACTGCCAACTGGGACCATGGTGACATCTGAGCCCAGGTGCTGCTCACGACCATGTCTGGGTCCATGGTTCGATCACAGCAGGGATCTGTATTGATGCCACTAGATCGTCAGGGACCTGGGTGACCACCTGGGGCCAGGTTAGTGTCTAAAGGTTGAGCCTCTGCCAGGGCCATGCAGATCTGAGTAGCCTACGCTGCGACCCAGGACCACGATGCCGCCTAGGCCTAGACTACTGCTAGAGACCATGTCTCCTGTGGCTCCTGTTATCACCAAAATCAGTGAAGAGAGGGCTGCGCAGACTTGGTCCTGCCCTTGCTGGCAGCAGCACCGAGGAGAGAAGGCCCTGCACTTTTCCTGCTGACCTGATAATAGAGCTGGCCCTGCTGGAAGGGGCAGAGGTGAGCAGGCCTGGGGAGCATGAGAACGGGAGGCCCGAGTCTGCCCCTCTTCGTCTGTCGTATGGTGGCATGAATGAGGAACTAAAATGTCCTCTCTCTCCTCACCCCTGCCAACTGCGGCAGGGGAGAGAGGTGGCCCCGGGGCCATGAGAATGGGAGAACTGGGCCTGCCCCACCCCCAGCGGCAGCACATGGGAGAGTGGGCATGGCACTTCACCTGGGCAGCACACCAGAGCTGACCCTGTAGGCAAGGGCACAGGTAGGCTAGGCCTGTGGGCGTGAGAGCAGGAGAGCTGCCCCTGCCTCCTCCCTCGCATGCCACGGAACGGCAAGGGTAAGGGAAGTATGCCCTCATCCCCAACCCTTGCCACTCATGAGAGGCAGGAAAGCAATCCCGGGGGCATGAGAACAGAACTGTCCCTGCCCCTCACCAACTGCAACACTCAGGACAGTCAGTCCTGCACCTCACCTGGGCAAAAACAGTTCTTCCTGCTTTTTCTGTCCAGCATCTCCACATTCAGGTCGGAACTGTTTTCCTATAATCATCTTGTAGAATTTTCTTGTTTTTTTTTTGTTTTGTTTTTTTTTTTTTTTTTTTTATGAAGGGTCTTATTATGTATCCCTAGCTGGCCTGGAATAGACAGGTCTGGCCTTAAATTTGTGGATGATCTTGCCTTTAGGATTAGAGGCTTGAGTCATCATACATGGACCAGGACTGATATTTATTTGAGAGAGTCTCACTATGCAGCCCTGGCTGACCTAGAACTTTCTTTTTTTTTTTTTTTTTGGTTTTTCGAGACAGGGTTTCTCTGTGGCTTTGGAGCCTGTCCTGGAACTAGCTCTTGTAGACCAGGCTGGTCTCGAACTCACAGAGATCCGCCTGCCTCTGCCTCCTGAGTGCTGGGATTAAAGGTGTGCGCCACCACCGCCCAGCGGCCTAGAACTTTCTATATAGACCAGACTGGCCTCAAACCTTGAAGTTACAGAGATATGCCTGCTTCTGTTTCCTGAATGCTGCCAGGGTGATTTTTTTTTTTTTTTTGATTTTTCGAGACAGGGTTTCTCCGTAGCTTTTGGTTCCTGTCCTGGATCTAGCTCTTGTAGACCAGGCTGACCTCGAACTCACAGAGATCCACCTGTCTCTGCCTCCCGAGTGCTGGGATTAAAGGCATGCGCCACCACCGCCCGGCTGCCAGGGTGATTTTTATATGGAGTAAAGAAAACCAGAAAGCTAGGCGGGATGGCACATACTCAAAATTCTAGCCCTTGGATGGCAGAGGAAGGAGGATCACTTGAGCCCAGGAGTTCCAGGCCAGCTTAGGCAACACAGACTTGGTCTGTGGTGGTATTTGTGATCTAACAAATAAAGCTTGCCTGAAGATCAGAGTGAAGCACTAAGCCACAAGTTAGCCATAGAGACCAGGCAGTGGTGGCACAGGTCTTTAATCCCAGCACTCAGGAGACAAGAGGTTCTGTGAATTCAAGGCCATGCTGAGCCACACTAGACTGATCCAGTCTCAGAGAGAAAGAGACAGGCTGTAGTGACTCACACAGTAGTGATATGGCTGGGCGGAGAGAGGAATGTAAAGGGGGAGAATGGGATGGGGAGTTGGAGCGCGTGCACAAGCACGAACACGCGCACGCACACACACACAAATGCACACACAGGAGGATTCATAGGGACAGGATTGTCCCTTTGGTCTGAGCATTGGTAGAGGTAAGAACTCTAGTGGCTTCTCTGATCTTTTAGCTTTCACCCCTGCCTCTCCCCCTGCCCCCCTGTCCCCTTAGCTGACTCCGGGTTTTTATTATTAAGACCAATTAGAATTTGTGCTACACTGGTCTCCAAAACAAAACAAATAAACCCCTAAAACGAACAAAAATATAACCTTTCAGAGGGACCCTAATTTACCGTCCCCGTGATCCTTGGTTACACTGTTGTATGGGCTCCAGCTTTCAGGATATGGTGAATTGTCTCTGCCTGTCCAGAGGACCACGGCTGCAGGTTCCCTCACCAAGGGTTCTCTGACCCTAATCCCAACAATAAAGAAAGGCACTGAACTCTTGGCTCAATGTTTTAAATATTTATTCTCAAAATAAACTCAGGCCTGGGCAGTGAGGAGGGGAACTTTGTGGATTTTGCCACATTGATCTGTGGCCAGATCACCAAAGCCAAAGGACGAGGGCTAGGGAGGTGACAGTAGCCATGAGGCCTGAAACGCGGCATGGGGGAGCTCCTGAGGCCCTCCGGAGGACCTGATTAGTTGGCCTCTTGGTCACCTTGAACTGTGAGTCCCAGTGCTTCTCCTGGGGCTGAGACAAGACGTGTGAGTGGCAGGTGCTACTCAGCTGCCTGTCTGGAAACTTGACCTCCACAGGGCTCCGTCCCAGGCTTCTCTCTCTCACCTGAGGGAAGGAGTCACAGTAACAGACACTCCCACCCCTCCCATGCTCCACTAGTGAACGACCTATCTGCGGTCAGTCTTTCTTCTCCCCCCACCTCCCGTTTTTTTGTTTATTTTTTGAAACAAGGTTTCTGCGTAGTCCTGGCTATCTTGGAACTCACTCTATAGACCAGGCTGACTTTGAACTCAAGAGACCTGCCTGCCTCTGCCTCCAAATGCTAGGGTTAAAGGCCTAGGTAGTGCCACCACCACCAACTAGTGACGGCCAATCCTGATTGTTAACCTGACTTAAATTGTAATCAAGTAAAACCCAAACAACTGGGCAATCCTGTGAGAGATTTCTTCTTTCTTTCTTCACATTGTTAATGACTTAGTTATTTTTATTTTATGTGCACTGGTGTTTTGCTTGAATGTATGTCTGTGTGAGGAATCTGTGCAATCCTTTGGAACTGGAGTTACAGACAGCTGTGAGCTGCCATGTGGCTGCTGGGAATTGAACCTGGGTCCTCTGGAAGAGCAGCCAGTGCTCTCTTTTAACTGCTGAGCCACCTCTATCACCTTCAGAGATTTTCTTTTCTTTTTCAGTCTTTTTTTTTTAATTTTTGGGTTTTTGTTTGTTTATTTGTTTTGTTTTTTAGTTTTTTGAGACAGGGTTTCTCTCTGTAGCCCTGGCTGTCCTGGAACTCACTCTATGGACTAGGCTGACTTTGAACACAGAGATCCACCTGCCTCTGCCTGGGATTAAAGCTGTGTGTCACTATTACCCAGCACCAGAGATTTTTTTTTTTGATTGGATAATCTTAGGTAGGAAGAACCACCCCCTAAATCCTGGCCAATACGTGGTGACTGCCCGAATAAAAGAATATGGAAGGAGGAGTTTTTGCTTTTTGCCTGCTTGCCCTCACTAGCTAGAGGGCTCATCTACCCTGTTGCTGAGGTATTCTTTCCCTAGGATTAGAGCCTACTTCTTTGGGATTCTCATATACTGAAGACCAGCATCTCTCCAGGAATCCTCTGGGACTTCAGCACTAGACTGAGACTTCTGAGACAACCAAGTCTTATGGACTAAACAACTACTCCACTCTTGGCCTTTCCAACAGGAGACAGCCATTGCTGGACTACCTGGACCACAGCCTGTAAACCATGCACAAATGTCCCCACCCCACATATGTGTGTATGAACGTGTGTATGTATGCGTGTGTATGCTCTACCAGTTCTGTTCCTTAGAGAGGCATGACTAATACACCATCCTTTGCTTTTAACCCATGTACCTGTTCCACCTCTCTGAAGACGCGCAGCAGGTTTCCTCGAAGGACACCTTGCAGCTCCTGTTCATCCCAGCCCCGTCTCAGCAACTCCTCTATGAGCACTGGGTATGTAGACACGTCCTCCAGGCCCTGAGGGAACCTGTGCAGATATCCACCGTGAGACCTTGCCCCTAAACCTGGTCTAGCGCCTGCTATCCCACCAGCCCCAGGCACATAAGACCAAAACTAAGGGCCAAGTTCTTTAGATTAGTGAACACGACTTTAGAAGTTCTTTAAAGACTGAGTCCTTGTGACCATACCCAGCCCACAACAGAGCTGGGATGGGCAGCGGTGCATTAACAAGATTCTTTTAGCTCAGGGGTGGGAGAGGAGATGGGGACTGGAAGACCAGGGCTTGTAGTTGAGATTTGAAGGATGAGCCGACTTTTGAATGGGGGACCTGAGGCTTGCAACCTCTGCCGCCGCCTCCAGGAGGAGTCCAGGGATAACATTCACCTTCCAGATCCATCATAGTCTCCACCAATCCCAATGAATTCAGATCCAATGACTGTCCTGATGTGGTCAAAATGATCTAGAATGCAGGGGTGGGTAGAAGAGTTAGCAACTGGGAGCATTTCTACGTGGAAAGTTGGGTCCTGGCCAGTTATCCAGTTCACATCTGGGTGACAGTGACAAGCTGAGTTGACAGTCCCTGGAAGGTCGGCCATTACCCAGCATGTGCTAGAGTTCAAGTCAGAACTGCACAGGGCTGAGGTCTGTGTGGGGGCGGGGCAGAGAGATGGCTCGGTGGGTCCCAGGTTCAATGCCCAGCACCCACATAGTGGCTCACAACTCCCTGTAACTCCAGTTCCAGGGGACCTGGCATCCCCTCTAGCCTCCATTTCTCCATGGGGCACCAGGGAGACACATGGTACACAGACATACAGGCAGGGAAAATACCCAGGAATGTTGTTATAAAATTAAGAGTTGAGGTGGGACTCACCTGCCACAGTGGACACATTAGCAAGCAGATTGCACTGTAGCACCCCCATGGACAGTGTCACCATCACAATGCCACCGTTCTTTTTCTAAAGGGATAGACAAAGGGGCAGTCAGGCCAGCCCCACTGGGGGACGCTTGCAGGGCAGCAATCTAGCAGGGGCTGGAAGAATGTTTTCTCCTGGGTTTGGGGCTCCCTGGGTAAAACTGATTTGGACCTGGTTTCAAAAGATGGAGGAAAGGTTAGTCAACCAATAGCTTTCTTTACTCAGGGTCACAACTCTCCTCGCAGTCAGACATGATGGCACATGTAAGGCCAAGGCAGAGGTAGTATAAGGTTCAGGTAGGACAGGACAGGACTATTTATGTAAGAGACCCTACCACAAACAAACAAGACCCTTTTTTTGTCCCCGTTCTTTCCTTCCTTTTTGGATTTTTGAGATAGGATTTTGCTATGTAGCCTAGGCTGGCCTCAACTCATGATCCTCCTACCTCAACCTCTCAAGTGCTGAGGTTGTAGGCATGTGTTATTATGTTTGGCTTTAAGACCCTCAAAATGAGTCAAATGTTTTGGCACACACTTTTAATCCTAGCATTTGTGAGGCAGAGGCAGGCAGATCTCTGCAAGTTCAAGGCTATCCTGGTTTACATATCGAGTTCCAGAGTCAAATAATGAGACCCTGTCTCAAAAAATGGAAAAAGTCAGGCAGTGGCGATGTACGCCTTTTAATCCCAGCATTGGTAGGCAGAGGCAGGTGAATCTCTGTGAGTTCGAGGCCAGTCTGTCCTACAGAGCGAGTTCTAGGCAGCTAAAGCCATCTTGGTCTACAGAGTGAGTTTCTCAGATGAAGTGTACTTAGTCCTGGGTTTGAGGGCCCAGTTGGCTACTCACCAGAAGATGCAGGATGTCATCAGGAACATTCAGCAAATTGTCGCACACAGCTCTAGCTGCTGAGTGGGAGAAGATCACAGGAGCCCGAGACACCTCCAGGGTCCGCATCACTAAGGTGTCTGAGCCGTGGGACAAGTCTATCATCATGCCCAGGCGGTTCATTTCTTCTACTACTTTCTGCAGGGACAATTGGATTTGGGAGGGAACAGAGGGTGTCAGGGAGCAAAGGTGTGTACAAGGATCTGCAGGAAACACACAGGGTAGGGTATGGTACAAGAATCCTCACCTCACCGAAGCTCGTCAATCCACTGATGTTGGTATAGAAGTGGTGTCTGAATTTCGTGGCGCTCTCTGCCCTACAAGACAGACAAGAGAAAGCGATTCTTGCTGGCTATAGCTTGGCTATCAGTGACTGGGGGCGGGGGGTCTGCTTAGCCATCCTACATATAGAACAGATGAGGACCAGGACTAGCTAGCTGGTGGAAGTGTGAGGGGCCTGCTGGGAGACCTGCCTCTCCCTCCCCTCACGGACCACTTTATAGTCATTTCTTTTGTCAGGTCCATGCCACGGAGAGAAGTTTCCTCACCACACTGTCTGCCATGCCACAGGGCCAGGCAGCATGCTCACCAGGGTGTGCTGCAGGTGAAGGTAAGTGTCAGGTAGCGCACTCCTAGCTCGTAGAAACTGCGCAACACAGAGAGGCTGCTGTCCAGTGAGTGACCACCCTCGACGCCAATGAGGCAGGCCAGCTTCTGAGTGTTATTCAGACCTAGAAGACGGTAGTGAGTCAAACAACCACATCCCAAGAAAAGAGCCAGTGGTGTGGATCCCAGGCTGTGCTCCAGTTCACCTTCAGCTGAGGTCACAAGCTCCAGCTCGGGGTAAGCAGAGCACATTCGGCGAATGAGGTCGATCTGTTCCAGGGCAAGGCGCACGGCATCCCGGTCCTGGGTTTCGCATGGGATGTAGGCTGACCAGAACTAGAGGGAGGTCCAGAGGTCCACGATCAAGCCAATATGATCTCTTAGGCCCACCATTTCTGCCTCAGCCCCCCATAGTACCCATGTAAGTCAACTGTTCCCCATAGTATCATGACTCAGGACTACTGAGCTTGGCAGCCAGCAAACAAGCTGTGGACTAATGACATAGCTGTTGTCTGTCCATGACCCCGTGTGAATGTCCCAGGCAAGGCTACCCTATCTTTTGTGGTTCTAGCAACCTCAACCTCCACATTCTCCAGGGATTTTCTGGTTCTTTTCTATGTATTCCCCTGAACCTGAGCATCTGTGCGGCTCATCTGTTGTTGGTCCTCCACGGCCTCAGACATTCTTGTATTTGCATGACAGTGTACTGCGTGCCCCAAGTACCTAGCCGTCTACGGCCTGGCCTGCTCAGGTTTCTGTGTCCCCAACGTCCCCATTCTTCTGGCACGGTTACCTGGGCGCCCACAAGGCCTTCTCTAAGCCTATCCAGGCTGGTCTGGCTGTGGGTGAAATTGCGCAGATTCACATCCTGCAGCTTATTCTGGAAGAGTTCTCTCAGGCGCAGAGGCAGGTCGTTATGGCTGGAGATGCGGTCAGTGTGAGAACACGGTCTCCAGGTCAGAAGCTTCAGCCCGGGTCTTGTTTCTCCCCGCCCCTCACTGGGCCCCACCCCCTGCACGCTGAGCTGGAAAGCTTTTCCACCGGACGTGGCGCCAAAGGGAGAAGGGGCACCCATGAACGACAGAAGGGAAAGGATATCCACCGAAGGTGCTAAGGGGCCTCATCAATAGTCCAAGGGTAAGCTTAGCCCTCTCTCTTATTTATCTATCTATCTATCTATCTATCTATCTATCTATCTATCTATCTATCTATCTATCTATCTATCTATCTATCTATTTATTTATTGAGGCAGGGTTTCCGTGTGAAACAGTCCTGGCTGTCCTGGAACTCTCTCTGTAACCTAGGCTGGCCTAAAACTCAGAGAGATCCGCCTGCCTCTGCCTCCCGAGTGCTGGGATTAAAAGGGTGCGCCACCACCTCCCGGCAAGCTTAGCCCTCTTCGGTCCCACCCCCGCACATACGCACCCGTCCACAAGCGGGAAATCTCTCATCAGGGCCAGTGCTTGCTCTCGAAGACGAGGGTCACTGGTCACGCCAGGTGTGGCGGAGGCATTGAAAGTGTCCGGAGTGGCATTGGCACTGGAGGCCGTCAGTGTGGTCGAAAAGCTGGAGATGCCCCGAGTGGTCGGGGTGCAGGTTACCCACAGAGGCGGAACTACAAGTAGCACCTCCAGCAGGAACAGCCAGGGCCCCAGAGGCCGCAGGCCGAGCGCGCGGGGACCCTCAAGACCCGCGGGCTGCATGTTGCTCAGACTTGGTCACAAAAGCCTGAGAAGGGCTGGGATAGGGCAGAGGGTGTCAATGGGGTTCTGACCTTCGATTCAGGGTACCTAGGACGCGGCCTCGCTTGGAAAAGCTTGCAGTCGCACGGCTGTGCAACGGACGCTCTGGAACTTTCCACCCCTAGAAGCGCAGTGCAGCCGCTAGAGGGCACCACCGCCCTTCCGCTCCCCCAAGTAGAAGGGCGCCCCCTTGGGCCTGGCGGGTCTTCTGGCAGAGTTGAAGACTAGTGGGGAGCAAGGTGGGGGGGCACACACACGAGAAATCTAACTAATCTCACCCTATAGCCGTTACGTAAATGTGTTAGCGCCCAAATGTGCCTTATCCTCAATAGGGTCAAATATCTTGCTAAATTCTGCTTAGAGTAGTTAATTAGATCTGTGTGGGTTTTGTTAGGTTTTAGTCTTGTTTTTGTGGCAGGGTCTTGCTGTGTTGCTGGGACTAGCCTGGAGCTCCTGAGCTCAAGCTATCGACAGTATGAGTACTGTCGTCTAGGAAGTACATCGCCACTAACAGAAAAAATATTGTCTAGCCAAGTGTAAAATCCCGGCGATCAGAAGGTAAAGGCAGGGCTGTGAGTTTGAAGCCGATTTGGGCTATATAGCAATATCCTGCATCAGAAAAAAAAATCATGCATAGTAGCTCACACACATAATCCCAGCATTTGGAAGACTGAGGCAGGAGAGTTTCAGAACACTCAAGGCCAACCTGGGCTACACAGAATCCCAGGCCAGCCTGAGCTAAAGAGTAAGACCTTGTCTCAAATCAGGCAACCAACAAACTAAAGTATGATTCTCCATTGAGAAACCTGCGCCCGCATTTGAGTGTAGTTAGCTTTTCCTAAACACTCTCTCCCTCCTGAAACACCTCTTCCAAGATATGCTAAAATGGTTTCTTACTAAATTTCTAGGGTTCAAGAGGTGGCTCAGTGGTTAAGAGCACCGTCTTCTCTTCTAGAGGTCCTGAGTTCAATTCTCAGCAGCCACATGGCAGCTCACAACCATCAATAATGGATCCGACGCCCTCTTCTGGTGAGCAGACTTACATTCAAACAAATCATTCATAAAGTCCATAAGCAAAATAATAATAATAAATTTCTGCTGTTCTCATAAAGAAGATGAAGGGCATCGAGATGGCTCTGAGTACAAGCACTTGCTATGCCAGCCAGACTACCCGAGTTCTATGTGCATATCTCATTTTTAAAAAAATAAAGAGTTAGATGCAGTGGCATGTGTCTGTAACCCCAGCACCTCTGCAGGGAAGGAAGACCCCGCCTCAGTAAGGAGGAAGTTGTCCTATGACCTCAATAGGAATGTCATGGTAGGTAGTCACGGCCCCTTTCTTTCACACACATACTAATAATAAAATAATTTTTACAAACAGATGAAAAAGCTGAGTAAAACAAAGGGGGCAGTTCAGAGGTAGAGCAAGTGCCTAACAAGTATGATGGCCTAGGCTTAACCCCACTACCATATTTAAGTAGATATGGACATAAAAAAAACCCACTTTCTGTGGGCAGTGGTGGCACACAGAAGGGAGGCAGAGGCAGGCAGATCTCTGTGAGTTCAGGGTTAGCCTGGTCTACAAAGAGAGTTCCAGGACATCCAGGCCTACACAGAGAAACCCTGTCTCAAAAAGAAAAAAAAAAAAAATGAAACAAATTAAACTAAAAACAAATTAAATTAATTAATTAAATTAATTTAAAATAAATTAAAAACAAAACAAAATAAAAACCTATCTTCTTAGCCAGGTATAGTGGCACATGTCTTTAATCCCAGCATCAACGAAGCAGAGGTGAGCAGATCTCTGAGACAGGCTAGCCTGAGTCTACACAGTGAGTTCCAAGCTAGCCAGGGATGCAGAGGGAGACCCTATCTTAAAAACAAAAACAAAAACAAAAAAACAAAAAAAAAAAACAAAAAAAAAAAAACAACTTCTCTCTCTCTCTTCCAGCTCAAAACAGAGAACATGTTTATCAGGGTTCCCATCTGTTGAATGTGTGTCTTTGTCTCCATGACACATGACGAACGCGTCCTTGGAGGCTGGATGATTCAGAATTAGTGTCCCTAGGCATGCTGCAATCATGTTTATTAAGCAATTCCTTTTTCTATTATTCTCTCATACATTACATGCTGACTGCAATTTCCCCTCCCTCCACTCTTCCCAATCTCCCCATCCCCCACCTTCCCTCTCCCCCAGATCCACTCCTCTGTTTCCTTTCAGAAAAGAGCAGACCTTTGAGGGATCTCAACTGAACATGGCATAGCAATTTACAATAAGAACAGGCACAAACCCTCATATCAAGGCTGGACCAGGCAACCCAGTAGGAGGAAAAGGCAAAAGCGTCAGAGACACTCCTACCCCCACTGTGGGAGTCCCACAAGAATAACATGTGCGGAGGAGCTATCTCAGACCCATACAAGCTCCATGAGCCCCGCTTAATTGATTCTGTGTGCTGTGTTCTCATGGTGTCCTCGGCCCCTCTGGCTTCTACAATCCTTCACCACCACCACCCCCTGAGCTCCTCCTGAAGTCTAGCAGTGGGTTTCTGAATCTGCTAAGTAAGGGCTTCTTAACCTGCCTTATCTCTGCTGAAGGACACAAATCGTGATGCTAGGGCTTGAACCGGAAGCAATCAATGCTGGAATCACATTACTAAGAGTCCTCGCCATGGGGCCACTTAGCAGACACCGAGAGGAGGAGGAAAGTGGGGTGTCTTTCCTGTCATTCCTGTTCCTCTCGTCACCCTCAAGAGCAGCAGGTGGCTCTACTTGCCAGTTTCTTTTGACTGTCACAGACCCGCTTTGGCATTAGAGCATCTCCACCTGCAGGGCAAACTTAGAGCCTCATAACAAGGATATGTTGGTACATGCCTGTAATCCCAATACTCAGGAGGCTGAGGCAGGAGGATTGTCACAAGTCTGAGGTTAGCCTAGGTTACATAGCAACATTATCTCAGAAAAAAAAACAACCAAAATAACAATTAAAAAAATTATGTCCCCAGCACCATACGGCCCTGTAAGTGTCTAGTTCCCACCAGCACCCCACCTTTTCCTTTGTTTCTACAATCTCGAAAGGTGAATACAGCTTTCAAAATTCACCTTGGAGCCGGGCGATGGTGGCGCACGCCTTTACTCCCAGAACTCAGGAGGCAGAGGCAGGCAGATCTCTGTGAGTTTGGGGTCAGCCTGGTCTACAGAGTGAGTTCCAGGACAGTCAGGGGTATTACATGAAGAAACCCATTTTTACAGTCTCGAAAAAAAATTGACTGATCAAAATAAGCAATAGAATATGCAGGTATCCGTGATGGGAATTGTAGCTTAGTAATAGAGTACTTGACGGGCATGTGCAAGACTCTGAGTGTGACCTTCAACAGCAAGGCCTCCCACACACTACAACTTCAGATAATGGCTAGAACAAAGCTCTGTGTGGGGGCCATGCCTATAATCCCAGCACTTGCTAAGCTGTTGAAAGAAGCGCTGAGAGCTCAAGGCCAGACTGGACTCCATAGTGAACTGTGTGCAAACTGGAGCCATGTCGCCCTGCCTGGAAGAAAGATAAGTGATGTTCTGTTGACAAAGTACTAAGGGAAGGCTTCAGCGGAGAAGGTAGCGAGGGAGTCTTGGGAGCTGGAGTGAAAACTTTCCTGGAGGAGACAGCATGTGTAAATACCGTGAGACAGACATGAGGCCAACCTGTTCCAGCAGCGGTGAGGAAAGATACAGGGGAGCAAGTGTTGTGACTGGAGTAGGTGTTGGGCAGGCTACAGTTGGCTTTGGCAGCTGTGGTGAGGAGAGCTGCTTTTGGCTTCAGTCTGAAGGGGATTTATAGGAGGAACCTGAACAAGATAGTTAGGACATCTGATATAGAAGCTGAAAAGGTTACTCTGGCTGCCGCAAGCTAGGTAAAGCGATGAGTGTGAACAGAGGAATGTCTCCCAGAGGTGAAGTGGACAGCTGATCCTAAGGAAGGGGAGGGAGGGCTGTCAGCAGAGAAGGAACAGCGTAGAGGTAGGTTGTATTCCAGGGCTACCCACATCAGCCACCTGGAATAGGAAGCAGCTATAAGCAACTCACCATCTTTAGCACACTAGTCAGCCTGTCCTGGAGACAGCACACCCGGCTTTAGGGGCCAGAGCAGCAAGAATGGATGCTTCTTCTCAGGCAATACCACCAAGTTCCTCCAACAAAGCTAGGGGATGGAGATACAGGCCTGGGCTCCTAGAGTCTTCTCAACGGAAGTCTTTGTTAGCCCAACACAGGGCCTCTGATAATCTGTGTGAAGACCAATATGGGGTCACTGGAGAGACCCAACAGTTTGACAGTTCTGAGACAAGAGACAAAAACAAAACAAACTCACTTAGGACTCTTGAGAGGCGCTAGGGAGATGACTCAGTGGTTAAGAACACTTGTTCTTGCAGCAGGTCTGGGTTTAGTTCCCAGCACCCATACAGTGGCTCACAACCATCATCATTCCAGTTCCAGGGATCTGATGAGGATAGCTGACATATGCATGGTGCACATACATACGCAAAGGCAAAACTCTTACACATAAAATAAGTAGGTGCTGGAGAGAGCCCTGACTGCTCTTCCAGAGGAACTAGATTCAATTCCCAGAACCCACATGGCAGCTGACAATAAAGAAATAATTTTAAAATGAATGCTAGATCCTAGCACTCATGCCAGTTTTGAAGGCCCAGAAATACACAGTTAAAAGCTTCTAGTAGCTGGCTGCATTGGTGCATGTCTGTAGTCTAGCTACTTAAGAGGCTGAGGCAGGAGGATTCCTCACGCCACAACCTGAAGGACAGGTTAAGTAATAAAGGGCTTCCACACCTCTAAACAAACAGGTAAATAAAAACTTCCCCAAATTAGCAGTGTATAGGAAATAGGGAACCGAGGAACACACTAAATCACGCTGTAGGATGCAATCAGTAAACTCAAAAACACGGAAGATGGGGTGAGAGGAGTTGAGGGAGGGGAAACTGTGATAGAATATAACGATGAAAAAATATTTCCAATAAAAATTTAAAAGACAACAAAACAAAAAACAGAAAATACCAAGGACAAAACCAGTATTCTTTTTTAATGTCAGTTTCATCCTGGGTGTGGTGGTGCCTGCCTTTAGTCCCCACATTCCACAGAGTAGGCAGAGACAAGTGGATCTCTGTGAGTTAGAGGCCAGCATGGTTTACATAGAGCTCTAGGCCAGCTGGAGATGTATTGTGAGACCCTGTCTCAAAAACAAAACAAAAGCCAATTGCAAGGAATTACTAATTCTTTTAAAGGGGGAAGACCCACCTACAGATTAAGTCATAACAATTGCACACAATATGAAATATCTTTAGAATACTAAGCTTCAGATAATCAACTATAAAAATTGGGCAATCATGGATATTTGAACTTGATAGTTTAGAATAATAATGATGTTTTATGAAGCCTAGCATAGTGACACACATCTGTAATCCCAGCCAGCATCTCAGCACTTGGGAGACTGAGGCAGAATTGTAGTGATTTTGAGATCAGATTGGGGTACGTAGTAATTTCTGGAATACATAGTCTGTATAGAGTGAGACTCTGTGCAATCAATCAATCAACCAACCAATCAATCAATAAACAAACAAGGGTTGGGGGTGGTGGCACACACCTTTTGTCCCAGCACTTGGGAGGCAGAGGCAGGTGGATCTCTGTGAGTTTGAGGCCAGCCTGGTCTACAAGATCCAGGACAGTCTCCAAAGTTACAGAGAAACCCTGTCTCGAAAAACAAAAACAAACAAACAAACAAAAATACCCAAGCAAACAAACAAATAAAGGTACCCAGCACTTGGGATGCAAAAGCAGGTGGATCTCTGTGTGTTCAAGGCCAGCCTGGTCTACAAAGCGAGTTCCAGGACAGCCAGAGCTACATAGTGAGACCCTCTCTCAAGAAAAAAGTCTTCACCCCACAGTGACAAACCACCTCTGACAAGGCCAAACCTTCTAACCCTTCTGGAACAGTTCTACTAAATGAAGACCAAGCATTCAGATATATGAGCCTGTGGGGGGCACTGTTGTTTCTGTGTTGTTTTGTTTTTACCACTGCCAGGCTATAGGGGCCACCCCTGCCCCCTTCCAGAGAGGGTTTTTCTTGTAGCCTTGGCTCTCCTGGAACTCACTCTGTAGACCAGGATGTCGTCAAACTCAGAGATCCATCCGCCTCTGCCTCCCAAGTATTAGGATTAAAGATGTGCACCACCACCACCTGACTAGAGCTATCATTCTTATTCAAACCACCACAGCCTGGTCCCATTTAGGGACCAGTTATTCTTGTTCAATATGGAGGGCAAACGACATTCCATCTCTAGGCAAGTGTTTATTTGGAAAGCCCCTCATCTTCATTAGTTTAGCCCTTTCTTTGGTATTTAAAGTGCTTTCATCAGACTTTTTTTTTTTTTTTTTTTTTAAATTCTTTGAGACAATTTCCCTATGTAACCCAGCTAACCTACAACATCTCCATGGTTCCAAACTGTGGCAATCCTCCTGCCTCTCCTTCCCAAGAGCTAAGATTAGAGGTGCACACCCCATGTCTGGCCAGACCCTTTCTTGATGAGACTCGACAAAAACAATGTACTTTATTGCCCAGTGATGAATGGAAGAGCTTGGGGAAGGCTGATGAAACCTTCAGGGACTTTCCTGACCTGTCCCGGAAAATACATGCTGACCCTCTGCTGCCTGTAAGTGTAAGCCACTGAGTGTTAGAGAAAAGGCGTCATACAGTGGGAAGACACAGAGGGTAGGGCTTGTGGAGGGGAAGTCATGTTGGGAGTGGAGGAGTAAGGAGAAGGTATCTTCCCTGGCGGTGGAGCACACGCCTTTAATCCCAGCTCTTGGGAGGCAGAGGCGGGGCTGTTACACAGAGAAGCCCTATATTAAAAAAAGAAAAAAAAAAAAGGGAAACGGTGTCTCAGGAAGTTGGAGCAATGTGTGAGAGGTAATCTTTGATTTGGGGTGTGGTGACACATGCCTTTAATCATAAGGAAAAGTCCCTCTTCAACTCTGTCTGAGGTCAAACCTGGTCTACAGAGCTAGTTCTAGGGGAGCCAGGGTTACACCATGAAACCCTGTCTTGCAAAACAAAAAAACAAAACAAAACAAAACTTATTTTAAAATGAGGTGAGGTAGAGAGATGGCTCCACGCTTAAGAAAACTTGTTTCCCGGCTCAGAAGACCCAGGTAACATACTGGGTATGGCCTCAAATTACCTGTAAGCCCAGTGGTGTGAGGGCAGAAGACAGAGGATTGCTGGGGCCTTGAGGTTGCCTATCTAGCTAAAAAGAACATCTAGGTTCAATTTGAAACCAGGCCTCAAAGGTAGAAAATAATAGGGTAGGACATGTGTTGCCCTCCTCTGGCATTGGCCTCTGTGCCTGCCCAGGCACATGCACCCACAAACTCAACTACACAACACAAATAAAGATGAGAGAGAGAGAGAGAGAAAGAGAGAGAGAGAGAGAGAGAGAGAGAGAGAGAGAGAGAGAGAGAGAGAGAGAGAGAGATATCAAGGTCAATTACAGTTATAGCTCAGTATATTAAGATAATGTCTCGGGCTGGAGAGATGTTGGCTCACAGCCATTTGTAATGGGGTCTGGTGCCCTCTTCTGGCCTGCAGGCATACACACAGACAGAATATTGTATACAAAAAAAAATAAACAAATATTTTTTAAAAAAAACCACTTATGAGTGGTACATGTCTAAAAAAAAAAAGATAATGTCTCAAAAAAGAAAACAGCATACTGAAACCTAGCTAAAACAGGGCTACTGTTGAGTGTGACTAGAATGAACGGATCCCAAGAGGAGCAGCCAATCACGATGGGAGGAGTTCTTAACAAATTTATCTTACACCACTTTCCCAAACATACTCATTACAGCCCAGAAACAGCAGGCTTTTAGAAATCCTTCTCATTTGTGGGAGGAGAAACGAAGGGGGTCTCAGCTGTAGCTAGCTCAAGGGTCTACTGTTCTTTATTGAGATGGGCCACACACGCAGGCCTCACACAGCTGCCACTGGCTCCCCAGGAAGCCAAGTGCTCTTACAGAAGCCCCCTCCAAGGGGACCCACGGCAGTGACAGGCAAGGCTGTGTCTGGGATGCCAAGCAGACAGGAGGGCTTCAGGCAGAGACAGGAAGGGACCTGAGAGGAAGGGCTCTGCAGCACAGAGGACAGAGCAGAAGGGACTGATCAGTTCTGGTTTTCTCTGCAGCACCCGTGCCTCCCACAGCCCCCACTTCCCCCGGATACTACCATGTCCTCTACAGAAAGCACGTACAAGCTCTTAACCTCTGAGCCATCTCCATCTCTTGGGCTTTTTAAAGTTTGAGTCTGAAGGATTGAATTCCGGTTCTCACGCCTGCTTGTAGGGCAAACACTTCACTTACAGAGCTACCGCACCAGCTTTCATTTGTTTATTATTTATTTTTGAGACATGTTCCCCGTACCCCAGGCTGGTTCCCCAGCTCAGCCTGACCTTGAAATTTCTGCTCTTCCTGCCTCTACCTCTCAAGTGCTAGGGCCGCAGGTGTCCAGCAACAGGCCTGGTTTTGTGCTGCGGATCAAATCCAGGACTTCCTGCATGCTGGGCAAGCGCTCTACCAACTAAGCTACAAAAGAGCCGAGTATTGGCTCTTAATATTGCCTATTATTATTATTATTACTGCAGCTGCTATTAATTCCCAGTCAGGCCCTGGGCGTTGGATGGCATGGACAATTTGTACCTGGTAAAGAGGAACTTCCTGACTGCTGAAATCTCACCACATCAAAGCCAGTCCAACCAGCAGAGGCCCAGGACCCAGTATATGTCCTGGAGTTCTGGCCTTTGTCCCAAGAAGAATGAAGGTTACTCATGGGCCAGCCAGGTTCCCTTCTTAGGAATCTAAAGAATTGCTCGAGAGATTTTATGGTGGGAATCAGTGGTTCAGTTTGTGTACTGAGGTGAAATGTTCAGAATGACCCCTAAATTCCAGACCTCTCCCTGAAGCCAGACCCAACCCATCGGCTTCATCCGGTGTTGGGCCCAGCCACCGAGGTGGTGCAGATCACTGACAACTTCCTTGAGCCAATGGTGGCTGAAAGGCCACGTTCCACAGACCATGAGCGCTGGGAGCCCGTGTTACCCTGAACTGCCACAGAGAAGGACACTCACATCTGTGTCTACATTAAACACATTTACTTCCATTAAATGTTTGCTCCTGCACAAGTGGAGGGGGTTCGAGGGTACAGAATAACTGGGAGAGCTGCGTGGATCCCACAAAGTCATACAATGAGGCCTAGAAAGGCTGTAACAATGGTGAGGATTGGGGCTATGTGGGGAGAAGATTTTGAGTGTAACCCCTCGGGTGATAACTTGAATGTATGATGTGTTGGGATCTCTGATTGGTTCTTTTCCTTTTGCCGTTTCTCTTGTCGACGTGGCAAGACCGAGTGACAAGCACTGTCCAGCTGCTCCTCTGGAATCATGTCCTCCAGAGGACTTTGCCATCTGCTTTGCTCCCGGACCTGGAGGTGACAGTTGTCAGTCAGCAGCTCTTCCGGGTCTCCTGTAGCCTGTTAATGCTACGGAAGCCCCTGGGCAGGTTCATGCCCTGCTCTCCTGCGTCTCACCATACCTGTTCCGCCTCTCTGAAGACGCGCAGCAGGTTTCCTCGAAGGACACCTTGCAGCTCCTGTTCAGTCCAGCCCCGTCTCAGCAACTCCTCTATGAGCACTGGGTATGTAGACACATCCTCCAGTCCCCGAGGGAACCTGTGCAGTCACCAGCAGGCGAACCTCAGACCCGATATCCTAATCCAACTGAAAACCTCAGCTCTATCTGAGTTGCACCCTCAGCAATGGTCATACGTGGGGCTGGAGACTAGGAAGGGGTAAGTAGTTTGCTCCAGTCCTAATTCTTCAGAGGTCTGAAAATCTCTTAAAAAAAAATATGTAGTGCTATAAATCAAACCTTGGGCCTCATAGATAAGCAAGTTCCCTATCACTCCTAGTCCCTTCCTTGAACAGCTCCTAAAACTCACTAAATGGTCTTTTAAGATTTATGCCTTCCAGTTGGGCAATGGTGGTGTGCGCCTTTAATTCCAGCACTTGGAAGGCTGAGGCAGGCTTCAGATCTCTGAGTTTGAGGCCAGTCAGGGCTACACAGTGAAACTCTTTCTCAAACAAACTCAAACAAACAAGAAAAGATTTATGCTTTCTAATAAATGCAGATATCCCCTCTGTTAAAAAAAAAAAAAAGGAGTATCTGAAGCTGTTGCTTAGGAGTAGAGTCCCTGGCTTGACTAACTTCAGGAAGGTTCTGAAGTGGATGCCTAGAACTGGAAAAGAAAAAAAAGAATACTGAAGAAACAAACGCAAGGGCCAATAATAGGTTCAGTGACTAAAGGCCTAACAACCCGAGTGTAGTCTCTGGAATCCACATGGGAGAAGAAAAGAGTGACTCCCGCCACGTGTGCCCTAGTATGCACACCCATCCCACTTTCCAAGTGGTAAATATTGTATTAAAAAAGAAAAGGAATAGGCAGGCAGTGGTGGGGCACACCTTTAATCTCAGCACTTGGGGGGGAGGTAGGTGGATCTCTGTGAGTTTGAAGCTAGCCTGGTCTACAAGAGCTAGTTCCAGGACAGCTAGGACTGTTACAGAGAGAAACCCTGACTCAAAGCCCCCCACTTCACAAAAAAAGAAAAGAAAAGAAATAGTTTGAAGTCAGTTTGGGATTCATAGTGAGATCCTGTGTCCAAAATACAAACAAATAAAGGAAGGGAGGGTGGGGAAGAAGGCAGGAAGTTTCCTGGGACCTAGCAGAGAAACCAGGCAGAGGTGGTGCACACTTTCAATCTTAGCACTTGGGAGGGCAGAGGCAGGCAGATCTCTGAGTTGAAGGCCAGCCTGGTCTACAGAGTGAGTTCCAGGACAGCCAGGGATACACAGAGAAGCCCTGTCTTAACAACAGTACCGAGAATAACAACTGGCAGAGAAGATAGTCCGCTCAGAGGTCTGCAGTGGGTACACGGGCTAAAAAAATGAGCTTTCTCAAAGTACCTTAGTGGGGGCCTTGGGCTGAAGACATACAGGAGAGCACAGGAAAGAGCCCTGGGGATGGAGAGATGTCCAATGGGCAAAGCCTAAAGGCCTTGAGGACCTTGATGCTGCGAGAGCAGCTTCAGATCAGCCACGGAGAAATACTCACTGTGAGGCGCCATCGTAATCTCCACCAATCCCGATGAACTCTGATCCAATCACTGCTTTGATGTGGTCAAAGTGATCTGGGGAAATGGACAGTCAACAGAATGGGGCTTTCAGGGAAAGAGTGGCCTTGGAACTAGGTTTGGCTGATCCCATTCCTCCTTGGATTACAGCCTAGGATATTCTCTGTCTCTCTCTCTCTCTCTGTCTCTCTCTCTGTCTCTCTCTCTGTCTCTCTCTCTGTCTCTCTCTCTCTCTCTCCCTTCCCCCCTCCCTCCTTCTTTCTTTCTTTTTTCGAGACAGGGTTTCTCTGTAGCTTTGGAGCCTGTCCTGGAACTAGCTCTTGTAGACCAGACTGGCCTCGAACTCAGAGATCCGCCTACCTCTGCCTCATGAGTGCTAGGATTAAAGGCATGCACCACCACTGCCCAGCTCAGTCTAGGATTTTCATAAGCCATAACTTCACAGGGAACAGGCTCCAGCCGCCTGGACTCCTTCCCAGTCAGTCCCACAAAGTGAGCATCTCTGAGTGGAAGAGACTGGTATTTGCTTCAGTTGACCTTTCTCCGGCTTCCTTTTCTTTCATTTTTCTTTTCTTTCTCTCTTTTGTTTTTCTTGTTCTCCACCCATTTCAGGAAAGCTATCTTGGCTCTTAGAGAGCTTAACAATGCTCAGTCTTAACATTTTCTTGGCAAGAAGCTTGCCCTTGACTTGCTTATTCACAACAAAGCCAGCAGCATGCTGCATGATATTGTAAACAATTTTGCCAGGGTAATATTTATGAGGCCTTTCTTTCTGAATAGTGCCCAACTCCTTGATGTCTACAGTATTATCCTTTTCATAGATTTGTATATATGTGGTCAAAGCAACAAATCTATATTTCTTAAAAGGCCTAGAAAGAGCTGGAGAGATGGGTCAGTGGTTAAAAGCAGTGCCTGCTCTTCTGGAGGACCTGAAATGAGTTTGATTTCCAGCATCCACATAGTCATCTATATTTTCAGTTCTGGGGTGTCTGACATCCTCTTCTATCCTCTTGCAGGCACCAGGCATGTCTAGGGTACACAGACATACATGCAGGCAAAACACCCATACACATAAAATAAATTACTAATAAAATCAAAACAAACAAAGAAAAGGCCTGGAGAAGTTACAGAGGGTGGCTTTCTTCTTTCCTTTTGTGTTTGGCATTTTTGGTGAATTACTGGAAGATGGCATCTGTAGCCCAAACAGATCTCTGTAACTGTAGCTGTTACTCCACTCCCAGTCCTGGCACCAGAACTAACACAAGCTGCTCTAGACTAGACTTCAGGTTGGAGTGGGCCCCTAATTTAGTTCATAGTCAACCTAATTCATCTCTGATTCCAGTCTGGAAAACCTGGCAGGGCCTCCTTTCAATGAGACTGAAGGCAGAGATGGGTAGGGTAGCCCATGCAGAAGCACAGATAGCAGGTACATCGCTCTAGAATGGTCCCCAGCCCTCCTCACAAGGCGGTTTGGGTTATTTGACTCTGGTTCTAAGGTAGTACTAAAGTGCTCTGCGTCTTGTCCACCATGGACATTTTTTTAACACCCCCCCTCCTTTTTTTTTTGGTTTTGTTTTTCGAGATAGGGTTTCTCTGTGGCTTTGGAGCCTGTCCTGGAACTAGCTCTGTAGACCAGGCTGGTCTTGAACTCACAGTGATCCACCTGCCTCTGCCTCCCGAGTGCTGGGATTAAAGGTGTGCGCCACCACTGCTCGGCTTAAAATGTCTTTTTTTTTTTTTTTTTTTTTTTTTTGAGACAGGGTTTCTCTGTATCACCCTGGCGATCCTGGCACTTGCTCTGTATTAACAGCTGGTGGGGATGGAGTCAATCTAGGCCTTCATGGGAGGCAAGTGCTCTCTGCAAATGGAACTACAGCATTTTTGTCTAGACTGCTGTGCTGACACCCTGAAGTCTTCAGGTCAAACTCAGCACCATTCAGAAAGCCCACGGGGGAATGGTTTCCAAACCTTTATTGCTAAGCATCTATCTCTCGCCTTCCCTCATCACTGAAGATGCTGATGTTTATGACTTGTTTCAAACTCCAATAAGATTGTCTTTGGTGTTTAAAAAAAAAAAGAAAAAAGGAAAAGAGAAAAAGATATACCAAGAGGCAGGTTTTGGGAGACTCACCTCCCACAGTGGACACATTGGCTAAGGGGTTGCATTGCAACACCCCTACAGAGAATGTCACCATGACGATGCCACCGTTCTTCTTCTGCAAAGACGGTCAAAAGGACACTCAGCCTGGCACCCCAGCATAATTATGTGTCTACCTCCACCCTGTGAGAAAGCTTTGGGGGCCAGTGTCAGTGAGCAAGACTTAACTCTGATTTAGGTAATGTCTTGGCCCTATATTTGAGGGGTATAGGAATAGTTATCTGCAACAACCTCCTCACCCCACAACAGATAATTTGGGGGACAATGGACTGTGGGTTTGTGAGGCAGTGAATGCTCAGTCTGGGGGGCTGAGGGAACAGTGGGGACAAGTTTCAAGTTCAAGGCCTCCTGGTTTGAATTTCTCGATTTAGGTCCCAGGGCTAGAAAGTTTCTCACCAGAAGCCTCAGGATGTCATCAGGAAGATTCCGAGCATTTCTGCACACACCCCTGGCAGCCGAGTGGGAGAAGATCACAGGTGCCTGTGACACTTCCAAGGCCCGCCTTGCAGTAGCATCCGAGACATGGGACAAATCAACCATCATACCCAAGCGATTCATTTCTGCCACCACTTTCTGTGAGCGCAGGTTAGGAGGAATTTCAGGGGTACATACATGCATGCATTAGTCATCCAGGAAAAGGGCATATGCAGGGTACATACATGCATGCATTACTCATCCAGGAAAGGGATACATGCAGGGTACATAGATGCATGCATTAGTCATTCAGGAAAGGGGTACGTGCAGGGTACATACATGCATGCATTAGTCATCCAGGAAAGGGGTACGTGCAGGGTACATACATGCATGCATTAGTCATCCAGGAAAGGGGTACGTGCAGGGTACATAATGCATGCATTACTCATCCAGGGAAGGGGTACGTGCATTTGCGTGGAGTATCACTCAGAGTCCTTACTTCGCCAAAGCTAGACAGTCCTTTGACTCTGCTGTAGAATGAGTGGACGTCCTTAGATGAGCTCTCTGCCCTGCAGGAAGGCAAGAGGCAAGCTAATTGCTGGTCATGCCCGCCAAACTCTTCATTCCTGCAACCCTACAGAGCTAACTCAAAAACCCCAGTTGCCTGGCAAAAGGAGGAATCCCAATCTTGCCTTATAAACCCCAACTACCAGCCCCTGTATGCGAGTCCCAGGCGGTATCGGTAAA